CGTCTCTGTCTCCATCTCAGGCATCTCTGTTCCCGCTCTCTGCTCTTCTCCGTTAATGATCCCAGATACCTCCTCTCCTAGCCTGTAGAATTCATCACTCCCTTCCTTGTTCAAAATGGACTTTTTTAGTATATTTATTACATGATGATTTACCCCTTTCCTTCCTAAGAATCTTCAGAAAAAGAGTTAAGAGATTATACATTTCTTCATGAGCATTTTAGGCATATTTAGAATGTTTTAAATTAAAACATAGTTGTTGTGAAGTGTCTTTGAGTTGATTCCAGCCCCCATAGCGACCCTGTATAGGGTTTTTGAGGAGCAACTGTTGAGCTTGAACTGCCAACATTGCAATTCAAATGGCTTTGCAGTCTGGTGCATTAACCCACAGTGCCACACCAGGACTCCAAAACAGAAGTAAAGTGGAAAATAAATTCTGACTTTTATTTTATACAGGCATAAAGGTAGTACCCGTAAAGTCATTTAATAAATTGTTTATTGTTTGTCTTTTATTGAACATATTATGATCAAAAGTAAAAATTTCAATATCTGATTTTAAAATACAGATTTAAAATTATGCACTGATAACTGGAGTCAGTCAAAGAGCTTTCATTTAATCACTTAAAAGTCTTGATGTAGAGTTAGAGTCTCAAAATTGTGCAGTAATTTAAGAAATCAGCTTAAGTTGTGTACTGCTACTTCTCATTGGGGTTTCTCTGAATTACCAGGATAATGATTACCATTAATTTTATATTTACTTTGAGAGAAGACAAACATTTGTAGTGTACTTGCATTTGTAGAGTTTGTTTCTTTAGTATATAAGCTATGGGCTATGGCACGTAAGAAGAAAATGGCTTTTGATACTGCAGAGGGTCCTGTAGACCATTATGCTTATTGGAGTAAAAAAAATAAGGCATTTATATTAGATGTCTGCTAGTGATAGGAATTACTCATGTTTGGTAGCAATTCTTACATTTTGTATAGTTAACTAAATATTTCATGATTTGACCAAATTACCATTGCCACTGAGTGTCACTGTTAGTGTGTCCTTGTCTTACTGACAATGAGTTTCTCCTGTTGTACACTGTGCATAGTGATCTCATCCATGGTTTTCAAGTGCCTTCTGTTAATTAGCTAGGATATATGTAAAGTAATATACTGCTCAAATAGCTTAGTGTCTTATCATAAGAAAAGTTCATTTCTTGCATGTATTACTGTCCTGCAGTTGTTTGCTGTGTTTGAGCTATCGCAGCTTTATTTTGTGTGGCTATGTTTTTTGTTTTCTCGAGAAAGGTTGAAGAATGATTGACCCTTATCTGGACCATCTTGTGACAGACAGAAAGAACAATGGCCAAGTCTATGCAATGGTTCTTAAAGCTTTTGCTTATACGTGGTGTGTGTCCATCTTGTCAGCTCACCCTGCATTGGCTAAAGCAAGTCACAGGGTCAGCCCTATATAGCCCTATATAGCGTATTCCTCCTACCAGGTGACACTTAAAGTCACCTGGCAATCTGTAGGAACTTCCATTGCCTCCCGGAAGGAGGTTTTATACTGTATTTTTACTGTTCTTACAGTTAAAATGCTACATATGTGTAGAGTTATCCCCTGAGACATACATTCTTCTTTTTTTTAAACCATATAGGACTTTCTAAATGCAAGTTGTCTTACCCCTGACTGCCAAGGTGTCATTTGTAGGATTACCGTCTTCAACAGTAAAGGTGGTGTTAAGTGTGAAGTAAGTATCTAATGAGGGGGAAATCCCATTACATTGATAACCAACATTCTTAGGCTTTTTAAATATGATTTAAAGAAATGGGAGTTGCATCTTGTCTTTTTCCAAAAAAGAAAACAATAATGAATTTTAAGAAAGCAAGAAGCTTTGCTGAAACGAAGCACTCTTGCATTCTTTTATTTTCTAATAGGAAAAGGAAGTTTTTGGTTTGGTTGTTTTTACTCTTTTTTTTTGGTAGCTTTTGTTTTCTTTCTCCCTGGTAAACTTTTGGGTAGAGTAGGGCTATGTGGATCATTAGGGAGAGGGAAGAGTGACATGAGGGATTGCCTTCATTATTGGGAGACCAGCAAGTTTGGGTAGTTGTTAATGATACTCATATCTGATCTGCCGTTTTGAAAAAAGCTTTTTTTTTTTGTTCCTTCCTGAAATACTGTCTTAGTCCTCATTTCAGTAAATTGTTTTACTAAAGCTTTCTGGGCCAGAATGTCTTCACTGTTCTCTTTCAAACTAAACATTGTGTGTGCTTCTGAAATATTTGTGATTTTTGTGCTCTTATGTCATGGGAGTTTGAGATCAATTTTGGATGTCTTTGTTTTATTTAAAGTTTGAACACAAGGTCATAAAAGAAAGGTTTCCTCCAAGACCTATTCTGAAACAGAAATGTTCTAGGTAAGATTTTTAACAATAAGTTTAATGATGCTTCTTAGAATATAATTCATTAAATACAGATTTCTGAACTTTATACTGCTTTTTAAATTGGCTTTACACATATGTTGTTGTTAAGTGCCATCGAGTTGTTCCTGACTCATAGCATGCCTTTATAGGGTTTCCGAGGAGTGGTTGGTGGGTTTGAATTGTCAACCTTGCAGTTCAAACTGACCTTGTGGTCAAGTGCTTATCCTACAGTGCCATACCAGGACTCCTTTACACACACACACACACACACACACACACACACATATCCAAATAAATGGTTTTAAAATGAATTTTGTGGATATTTAAAACTAACCTAGAATTGTTAAATACTCAAAATTTGAATCAGAAACGTTTTGTGGTTGGCTTTATAAGTAAAATGTTTAACTAATACATTTGCCATTTAGTTAACAGTTATAAATATAGCTTTCAGTTTTAAACTTTATTTCCAAAAGCATTTTTCTGTTTATCTCTCTTTAGCAGACATTTTGAAACAATGACCACTTCTTACTTTTGAAATACTCAGTATACTACGACAGTCAATATCACTCTCTTTGTATCTTCTTGTTTGGATCAAATAATTCTAAGCATTTTTTCTTTTCTTTGTGGTCCTGCTTTTGTTTTTTGTTCTCAGAAGTGATTTCTTTCTTTCTTTTGTTATTTGTGACCAAGGAGTAGTAAAAGAAAAGATGAACAGGATTATTTGTTAGAGAGCATTCATTGTAGTCAGATCAACCAAATTCTCAAGTAGTGGGCCATTACTGAGATACAAAAAAAAATACTGTATTATGAGATTGGTCTTTGAAATGAACATTTATATTACATGTATTACCTCTCAGAGTAACTTATAATTTTCCTGTTTACATTAAGCAGTAATTTATATATGTGGAAATAACATCTATACAATCTGTATGTGCCATACCTAATTAGAACTTACTTAGTGATTGAGACTCTTGTTTTCATAAAACAAGTTCCCATCTTTTACATGCATGGATGAAGTTGGTAGTTGTTGCCACTGAGCAAACATACAGGCCAAGTTGTATGTACAACGGAAAACTTCTAACTTACTGCTTGCATAGTGGTTTCTACAAAGAATAGTTTATTGAACTTATTGCAGAGATGAATTATCACTAATCATAAATGTCCACCAGTCTAGGGAAAATAAAAGAGAAAGAAGAGAAAAAAATGAAGAGAAAGATCCAAAAAGAAGAAGCAAAACAACTAGCAAAACAACGACTGGAAGAAGATTTAAGAGAAAGTAATCCACCCCAAAATGAGAAGAAAGGTATGCAGAAGTCCAGGTTATTAAAAGAATTATGGACGCTTTTTAAAAATATAAATACTCCTATTCACATAAATATTGGCGTATCTTATTAACCTTTATATTAATATTGAAATTTATATTTCAGTTTAGAATTTTAGTACTATCAATGTGTTCTATTACTCCTAGAATGCTGGTTTTAGAAGCAATACTTAGGGTATCAAAATCCTACACTGCCCCTAACTCCAAGCAAATTCTTGCCTCGGTTTCCTTATCTCTGGAAGGAAGGTAGAAATAATATCCAACCTGCAGATCATGTGTTTGAGGTGCACTGTAAACTCTACTCTTTGTGGATTTTAACTTTCAAATTGTTGAGTGGTAAAAATTATTGGTTTCAAATAGTGTGAAGCAATGCTGTTTTTTTTAAAAAATAATTGTTTGAAATAATTTTTTTTCTTTCAAAGAAAAGCAGTTCATGAACGCTACCATAGAGATTACCCAGTCCAGTTCTCGATTTTAAGCGTCTTTTGTCATTGGTAATTTTACTTATTTCTTTCTGTGTATATAGTGGTTGTTAGGTTGTTAAGTGCCATCGAGTCAGTTCTGACCACAGCGACCCTGTATAGGGTTTCCTAGGAGCAGCTGGTGAGCTTGAACCGCCAACCTTGCAGTTCAAACTGGCTTTGCAGCCCAGCGCATTAACCCACAGCACAACATTCAATCTCTAGTTGCAGTTTCCTTCATTTTCTACTGTTATTATTATTTTTCCAACATGAAATATTTTACCACTTGCTGTCTTTACTTTTCATCCAGCATTCTATTAATATTTCACAAATCATTCCAAATCCTCCTTCCAATTGAGTGATTTTTCAGTGACTGCATTTTAATTATTTATGCTTAATGGGCTGCATTTATTGAATATAAGTTTTGGTAGTTGATGAGACTGGGCTAAGAAAGTTGATGAGACTGGGCTAAGAAGTGACCTTATGGAGAACTTATCTTAGAGGAGCGACTAAATGTTTTGAGTCCTGGTGTGGCACTGTAGGATAAGCAGTAGACTGCTAACTGCAAGGCCAGTGATTTCAAACCTACCAACTGCTCCTTGGAAACCCTACACAGAGTTGCTATGAGTTGGAACCGACTTGATGACACTTAATAACAAGAACAACGAACAGTAAGTTTTCAGATGTTACTGGTTGGTACAGAGTGAAGGATCGAAGGCATTTGTTTTTTAATGGTTTGGCTAAATGTGAACTTTCAGATATTTTTCAAGTGAATTTCAAAGATTGTATATTCCTCATTTAAAACACCATAAAGAGTAGCATCAGAGTCATATTATGTAATGCTGCATGATTTCTAAGTTTATATCTTTATGCATTGGTTCTCCTTTCCCTTTCATTAATCATTGTTATTATCCTCAGGAGCTGTAGGACATGTTCACACTTGTCGGTTCCTTGATGACAGAATTCTACAGTGCCTGAGTCAGTACTCTGAGAAGATCAGATCCAGTGCGCTCAATGTTTCCATGCTTATGAGGGAATTGCTTTCTTGGAAGGTTTTAAGTGTAGATGACTACACAACATGTTTTTCTAGCAGAAATTTTCTAAATGATGCAGTGGACTTTGTCATTCAGCACTTGATTAAAGAAAACAGTAGAGTCAAGACAAGAATATTTCTTCACGTTTTGAATGAGCATAAGGAAATTGAGCCCAGTGTAGCCACTTGGATTGAGAAACTTGATAGCTTTGGTATGTCACTTTATTTTGGAGAGGTATTGTTAGTAGAAACAATGAATATAGGCCTCTGAATTCTTTTTCATTTTCCTGTTTTGGGAATTGTTGGGTGGTACAAAGGCTTAACACATTCAGCTGCTAGCCAAAAGGGTTGGAGGTTCTAAAGTTCAACCAAGGGACCTTGGTAAATAAAGGGGCCTGATTATATCTTTCCCAAAAGTCAGCTATTGAAATCCCTGTGGAGCAGCACAGCGCTACTCTGACACATATGGGGTACCCTGAGTTGAAATCGATCCAGTGGCAATTGGAAAAAAAAATCCCATCATTTATGATTTTTAAAATACAATATGGTTGAAAATACTATTTCTCTCCATACTTATACTTTTTAGGTTATAAGATATACAGGCTAGAGTATACTTTTTCAAAAACTGTTAAGACAAAGTTTAGTCAATAAGAAAATCCAGACCTATAATATGCTAAACTCTTTGTAGATGTGTAAACAGAATATTTTAAACACCAAACCAAACTGAAAACAAACAAACAAACAAACAAACAAAAAACTAATTGCTGTGGAGTCAATTCTAACACACAGGACTTTACAGGACAGAGTAGAACTGCTCCATAGCATTTCCCAAGCTATGAATCTTCATGGAAGCAGACTGCCTCATCTTTCTCCTGCAGAGCACCTAGTAAATTTGAACCACTAACCTTGCAGTTAGCCACCCAATGCTTAGCCCACTGCACCACCAGGGCTCCTATTTTAGGTGCAATCTTATGTAAGTGTACCGCTTAGAATTTGCTCTCTGTGTGGCATCCTCTGGAATTGTGACTGTTTAGAGAGAAAAAGAAATTAAAGTCCAGATTCCTTAATGAAAATTGAGAACAGAAAGTGGATAGGACCAGTTGTTTAGGATCACCCCAGGGAACCCTGTGTGTAGGGATTAAGAGAAAAATCCCCCAAGTTTAGACTAGGTTTGTGAATCACCAGATTATGAAATCACCAGATATGACTTACATGTTTTGACTGGGAGAAGGGAAGCTGGGGCAAACCACTCAGCAGGTACTTGCAGAAGGCAGCTCCAGAGAGCTGAGTTGGCTGTCACTAGACTCTGCTCTCTCTGCACCTAGGAAGGTCCAGTTTATCTTGGTGACCATGTGGGAAACTAGCATGGCTCAATAGATGTCTCAGCTAGCTGCTGTTAGCCAAGACTAGAGCAGGTTTTTTGCAGCATCCCAAAGAGGGGGCCTGCCAAGCCTCTGAGAGCCACCGCTTCTTGCCTGAGATTGTATAGACTACTAGGTCTTCAGAGAATACATTCATAATTTTTTTTCCATAGAGACTAAACTAAGATGGCATCAAGCTTGGTATAGATAGGAAGCATAATGCTCCTGGGAGTATAGGTCTCCGTTGATTTGTAGTCTCAGAAAATTACTCAAGTCATAAATTTGTCACTGGCATCTACTCCTGTTAACAATACGATTTGTTGTTGTTATGAAGTGCCGTGGAGTCGGTTCTGACTCATAGCGACCCTGCATAGGGTTTCCAAGGAGGAGGGGCCATAAGATAACAATAAGATAAGTAAATTATGGACCTATCTTTTGCTTTAATCTGCTTTGAAAAATAGACTAGAGGAAGAGTTTTATCTGGGTTATGCTACGTAGGCAACAGTGCCACCTCGTGTTCATTCCAGTAAGCTGCAGTATTAGAGCCATATTGTTCGCGGGCAGAAAAATGTTTCTCTGTCCTGTGGATATAATTTATGTTTACTCTGAACAGTAAACCAAAAAAAAACCAAATGTTGCCACCATGTCAATTCCCAACTCCACGTGACTTTGTATAGGGTTTCCAAGGCTGTAAATCTTAATGGGAGTAGAAAGCCTCATCTTTCGCCCATGGAGCATCTGGTGAGTTTGAACTGCCAAACTTGCAGTCCAGTGCTTATCCTAAAACACCACCAGGATTCCTTTTGAATAGTAAAGGAATCATTATTTAAAGTTACAATTTCTATTTAAAAGTTTAAAAATGAGTTCAAGCATGTTAACTGATTAGGCTTTATAATGTTATAATGTTGTTAAGTGCCAATGAATCAGTTCTGACTCAGCGACCCTGTGTAAAGTTTCCAAGGAGTGGCTGGTGGGTTTGAACCACCAATCTTGTGGTTAGCAGTCCAGCACTTATCCTATAGTATCACTGATACAAAGTTCACACTTGCGCATTCCTGGATAGTTGATTCTGACTCATGGTAGGTAGAACTGCCCCATAGGGTTTCCAAGGCAATCTTTATGGAAACAGATTGCCGCATCTTTATTGCAGAGTGGCTGGTGGGTCCAAACCACTGACCTTTCAGTCTGCAGCTGAGCAATTAACAACAACAGTGATACTGGAGTCCTGGTGTGGCACTGTAGGATAAGCACTGGACTACTAACTGCAAGATCGAAAGGTCAGACCTACGTAACTGCTCCTTGGAAGTCCTATACAGAGTCGCTAGAGGTGGAAACGACTCGATAACACTTAACATAAACAGTGATACTATAGAAGAAAAGACCTGGCAATTTGCTTCCATTAAGATTGTAGTCAAGAAAACTTGTGGAGCAGTTCTCCTCTGTAACATAGGATCACCATGAGCCAGGATTGACTAGATAGTAAGCAACAGTAACATTATTTAAGGAATTCAAATCAATACTTTCATCTAAGTCTAAGAAGAATAACTACATTGATAACCTTATTAAACTATTAGGAAGATAAGATGGAGTCTTGGTGTGGCACTGTAGGATAAGCACTGGATCGCAAAGTTGGTTTGAACTTCCAGATCAGGAGTTCAAATCTACCAACCACTCCTCAGAAGCCCTATGCAGGGTTTGCTAATGAGTCGCAACAACAAAGATAAGACTTAATTATAATTAGCATATCAGGTTAATTGTTGCTGCTGCTATTAAGTGCCATGAAATCTGACTCATAGCAACCCTGTATAGGGTTTCTAAGGCTATAAATCTTTGTAGGTGCAGAAATGCCTCTTCTTTATCCCATAGAACTACTGATGGGCTCAAAACACTGACCTTGTGGTTTACAATTCAGTGTGTATTATATAGAACCAACATGCTCCCCAATGTTAAGTAGTGTTTATAAAATGCATAATAGCATTTGATGACAAACTTGAACAAATTTGTTCTAAGTATTTGAATGTTTTCTCTGACAATGTAAACCAGATAAAATGGAACTGCTTATAAAAGTTGTGAAACAGAGTGTGGTTTAATAAATAGCAAGTAATTTTTCTCCCCTTCAGATTTGGGTTTTGTTTTCATTACAGGCTTGAATGCTGCAGTACCTTTTCTTTCTCGTTATGGGGAGTCTCTGAAGGACCTGGATTTTACCATTGTGAGTTCTCTCTGGAATGAGAAATATGGTTCAAAGCTAGGCTCTATAGAAGGAAAGACATTTGAATATTTCTGTGAGCCGACATCTTCCAAAGAAGCTCGCTGTTTAATATGGCTGCTAGAAGACCACAGAAAGAAGTTTCCAACATTGCATACTGCTTTAGATGAATTCTTCGGTATACTGGGTATGTGGACCAAGTTTCAGCTTATTTATATCTAGTTTTAGAAAAGAAGTCTTTGAAGGACCTAGCTTATTTAAATACTCAGGGAAAATAGCAAAAAGTTACTATTGTATAGCCCGCTTACTTGAGGCAATTTAGTGGTTGAGAATGCTGTTTTTTTGGGGTTTTTTAAAAATGTGAAGCTTGTTTTGTTTTACCATGCCACACTCTTTAAGTTTGGTAGAGATATTCAGATGGATACTTTCCCTTAACCACATACCATAGTATTCCCCTCTTAGTTTTTTTCAGTCGAGGCAAAAATTGTATATTAAATGAATGGTATTCATTAGCAAATGGTTTGATTTTTAGCATTCAAGAAAACACTGGAATGTGGCAAGGAGGTGATGTTTGCAGAATCTAGAGCAGATGTTACATCTGTTTTAGTGGAAACAGAACTAAACAGGAGCTGAATAAACTGTTGTGTAGTATTTTCCTTCATTCAACTCATTAAAACTTAAGTGTGTAGTCCTCATGCTTCAAAGCCCTATGCTAGGTATTGACAAGGAATCCAGGAAAGCTTATGGTAGTCCCTTAGGACTTTATGTTTCTAGAAAAAGGAATTGAGATGAGTGTACAGGTTCTTGTAAGATGGTAGTGACCTCAGCAGAAAAGGACCAGAGAAAGTGCTGAGGAGGCTCAAAGGAAGGATTCAGTCCTGAACATTCTCCTTGCAGAGGTTGAGATAGGTGGTGAGCATTGCGTGGAATGGGATATTGAATGATACTGGGGAGTAAAGAGGTTGGGTGGACGGGAATCATGGTACACATTTGAATAACGGCATGGAGTCCAGTTTGGCAGAGACTAAGACAGAAAACAAAAATGCTTGCTGGCGTTGTGTCAGTTCCAATTCAGGGTAACCCCTTGTGTTACAGAGTAGAATAGAACTCCAATGAGTTTTCTTGGATAACTAGCTACATTCCTTAACAAATTTTGATCTTAGTGTCCTCATCATTAAAATGAGACCATTTTGAGCAAATGATCCTCTGACCTCAAAATAATAATACTTTAGATGTTAAGTGAATGTTAACTTCTTACATTTGGTACAAGGAGCTCTGGTAGTGTAGTGATTGCGAGTCGGGCTGCTAATCTCAAGGTCAGCAGTTCGAAACTACCAGCTGTTCTGCAGAAGAAATATGAGACTTTCCGCTTCTGTGAAGATTTACTGCCTCAGAAAACCTATACAGGGTCTCTAAGAGTCGGAACCAACTCCACAGCACACCACCACCACATTTGGTGCATCTGTGTTTTATGGTAATTCTTCCCACAGCCCTTCCTTCAGAGTCAGAAGTCAGCTTTACATAATATCAGGGGTAAGACTTTTAAAGTGTAGACTTCTTGTTTTAAAAGGTATAATTAAAGGAGTCCAACCTTGTTTAAAAGTGACACCCATTATAAAATACAGGTGCAGGGTCAGGGCCTGCCAGTGACAAACTTAGTAATGTGTGGTTCTTAGGAAGGAGCACACTCAACTATAGATGGCTTTATTTTTCCAGGATTCCGCTCCTTGACTGGAAGGTGACACACTACCTGATAGCCTGACTTTATTGCCATCAGTTTGCGGCTGCTGGTAATAAAATGCTGTTCTGGGACTGAGCTTACAAAACCCAATGCATGCTTGGATCACACAGCGGAAGAACTGAAAGGACACAGTTTGCTCTGAGTGTGCATTCTGCCTGATACTTGTGCTCTGTGCCTAAAACACATGGCCCATTGGCTGTGACTTTTTCTGTTCTTAGTCATAGAGTTGGAAGCCACCAACCACATGACTGGCCAGCCCTGCAGGTTCTCAGTGCCTCCGTGCCCTGCCTCCCACCCTTATTCCAAATGTTCCCATTGTATCTTTTCATTGATAGGATTATATATATATCTATATATTAACACTTTTCAGAACCCACTGATTTTATAAATAGGAGTGCTCAATAATATCAGTGCTATGGTAATTGGGAGCCTTTGACCTCCCTTCTGAAGACAAATACCAAATTTCCGTCTGGTATTTCTGTGTCACAGCCAACAGGCCCCTTAAACAGAGTTTGGATAAACCTGCTCATCAGAGACCTTTTTTCCTATATCTCAGTTAAAGATATCAATATCTTTATATATCTAGTTTTTACTAAGAAACCCTGGAATTAGTCGTGGTTCCAATCTACACCTATCTAGCTTGTCACCAATCCAAATAAGCTTTGTTTTTGATCTATACTTTTCTGTCTTGACTGTTCTATGCTAGAACCTTATTTATCTATGATTAGACTATTGCAGTAGGCTCCAAACAGGCCTCCATGCCTTCTTTAGATGCTCTCACTCCAAGTCATCTTCCTGCTCTATTGCTACTATAACCTGTTCTTCTAGAACATCATTCTGATCCTCGACTCTGTTGCGGAAATGTTTGCTTAGTTCACCTTATCTCTGCAGGTTCATTGTCTCTTCTAATCTGCCTTCTTGATATACACACCCGGCTTGTTCCTGAGCCCAAACCTCCCTGTTCTTCTGCCTCTTGCCTTTGCTTATGCAGATCCTTCAGACCCAGCCCACACCTTTGCTTGCTTATTTCAAGTGGAACCCAACTGTCCTTTCAGCCCTGCCCCTCCTTTGGCCTCTTTTCCTTGAAGATTTTTGTACTCCATCTTCCCTTCCATTGTTTTTTTACCTTGGCACGTAGCACCCAGAGTTCTAGTTGCTTGCCTGCTTATCTCTGTATTCCCAGCACTTTAGCATAGCGTTTGGCACATAGATGATGTCCAAATTATTCTACACTGGATTGAAGTTTTGTGGCTTTCTATGATTAGTTTCCCATTTAGTTATTTATCTTCCCATTCCTCTCTAGTTTCTAAATTATGCTTGTGTCAAAGCCAAATAAAGAGTAGAACATATTCTCTATTAGTAGTATCTGGGTTAGTTTTCTTGAAGGCTTTGTTATTATATGTCCATATGAATATTTAGTTTCCTCCTAAAATGTTCGGTATCTTCTTACAGACAGCAGCTGCACGGTGCTAAGGAAACAGGACAATCCTGACTCCTTGGTAAGTGATTTGATCAGTACCAGTGCTAAGCTAAATGCGAAGTAAGGGAAGAGAGAGGACCCACACAAGTGTTTGTTGGCATCACATTCCAGAGCCAAATTTAGAGGATTTCTGGATAACGTATACCATTGAATTAGAAAATTTAATCTCAACCTTCTTTTTGGAATTGGCACAGTAATCAGCCAGTTCTGAGGCTTAAGTTAGAACAGGGCCCATAAAGTCTCACAACTAAGAATTGTTAATATTAAAAATAGGAAGTGTTCTTGAGTTACATCCTGGCATACAAATGAAGTTATCTCCAGTCATTAAAATGTTAATGTTTCGTTCTAAAAGGAAAGCAGAATCTTGGTGCAGTGCTATAGGATCTGCACTGGACTGCTAACCACAAGGTTGATGGTTCAAAACCACTAGATGTTCCTTGGAAACCCGATGCAGGATCGCTGTGAGTTGGAACTGACTCAAAAGTGCTTAACAACAACAAAAAAAGAAGAGCCAAGGGCCTTTTTTTTTGAGTGGTCCAAACTGAGTTGGACTTAAAACAATCCCAGAGGAATTTTTTTCCTTCTAGGTAGTAGTTGCCTTTATCCTTTTTTTAGTTGTTGTTGTTAGGTGCCATTGAGTTGGTACCGATTCATAGCGACCTTATTATGCACAGCAGAATGAAACACTGCCCGATCCTGGGCCAACCTCACTATTGTTGCCATGCTTGAGCCCATTGATGCTGCCATTTAGCAGTTTAGGAATTCTTTATTGTAGAAAAATGATTGCATTGAGAAAAAAAAAGGTGCTTCAAAGAGAAAGATGCATATTTATTGATTTATAGTATCAAGGCATATCAATTGAAATTTTGTCTTAATCTGTGTGACCAAATATTAGAGGGCTTCAAAGTTTGTAGAAAATGTCTGTTATCTTTTCATTCAGTTTTTCCAAGGACTTTTTGAAGCCACCTCAGTGCTCTGATAAGTATGGAAGCTAACGTATTCTCTGAGTAGGTAATTGGGTTGTCTGAATTTACTATTTTGCCCCATTGTCTGGTCAGGTGCAGAATGCCTAGTAAAAGGAGTGTTAAAATGCCATTAGTGTGTAATTGCAATTACTTAAAAAGAGTGAATAATTACTTGAAGTAACATAAACCCTATTGCTCAAAAGGAGTTTAAAATGTTGGGACAGTTTAATTTGAGTTTAACATTAGAAATCATTAGATTTTTACTTATTTTCTGTTACAAACATAGAGCCCTGGCATGGCACCATAGGGTAAGCACTGGACTGCTAACCACACAGTTGGCAGCTCAAACCCCCCAGCCAACTCTCGGAAACCCTAAATAGGATCACTGTGAGTTGGAACTGACTTTCAATGGCATACAACATCATTATGAACTTGACACTTGAACTGAAATATTGTCTATAGAATTTATGACTAGTCTGTGGAAATCAGTATAATTTCATTATATTGCACTTCAAAATGCTATGTTTTGGGTTTCATTGATAATGTTGGGCTTTTTTTTTTTTTTTTCATTTTTTTAGTATGTTTCTACAAAGGTGAAAAACAAAGGGAAGAAAAAGAAGCCAAAAGATCTAAAGGTATGGGGTATTTTGTATATTATTCATGTCTAGCCTTGCTGAAAAATTAATGAACTATGCAAATTAGAATTAACCAGTTCTTGGAATGTTTTGAAAAAACATTTTGTAGAGAAAGAATTTCTAGGCTTTCATTTGAATGTATTTTGGCAGTCTTAACATTTTAAGGGAATTTAAGGTTCATATAAAGAACTCTTGAAAGAGGCTTAATTCTTTTTCTTTCTTTCTTTCTTTTTTAAAGTTTTTATTGTGAATTGAATGATAGTTTACATGGGAGAACATTGGTTTTACACTCATCGTATTGCATTTTGTTGCATTGGAATGATTACAGTGCCCTCTGTGCATCATCATTCAACAGTATTTGCTTCTATTCCCTCTGTTTTTGTTAGTTTTTTTTTTTTTGGGTGGGGGGTTGTACACAAAACACTCAGGAATAAATATAATCATTTAAACAACCAAAGGGCACATTTTGCAAGCCTGCGTCCTTCCAGAACACAGCTTGTCTCTTTCCATGAGTCTAGAGCCCTCAGCTGCTCTATCTCTAAGAGAGTTAATTCTTTATTGCCTCTTTTGTTTTTTAGGTAGGATTTTTTATGTAGGATTCTGTATGAGTGGTCTTAGAGCAGAGTGGCCAAGAAGTTTGTCTCATCAGTCATTTAGGTTCTACCAGTGACTAACTGGGCCCTTTATTTGCTTTGCCATGTCCTAGTATCCTCATCTGTATAGCAGTAGTAATAGCGATGCCTGTTATTAATAACTATAAAAGTTATTGTGCATATCTGCTCTGAAACACATGAATTGGAATTGACTGGATGACAACTAGGTTGATTTTTTTGGTATTATTCCTAAACTGAATTTTATACGGAGGTAAGAAAGCAGAATAATAGTTTCTAGTAGCTAAATAGCTTTTGTTGGAATTCATTCAAATATTTATTATCTAAACTACTTCAGACTGAAATGAGGAATAATAATTCCCATAGCAGAATCTTGGAATTGATAGAATTCCTTTCCTTCCTCTTACTTGAGGTTCACTCCAAGCCCATGTGATAACTAGGGCATTGCTTATAAATTTCACATGGCTGTTGTATAATGGGGGTTGGGAGGGGGATCATTAGGGGAACCCCAGAGTAAGAGTGCAAGCAGGTATTACAGAAAGATGAGAGCAGCTTATAAATTCCACCAAAAGTTTTCTTTCATTATTGATCCTTTCCTCATTTCTTTAGTTTAGCTGATGTGGAAGTTTGATCTGAGTGACATTTAAATTATTCTTGGAGCTTTGGAAGCTACCCTAAATATTCGTTTGGACCTATTAATGGTGTCTGACAGTGGTGTGCAACATCATCATCATGTTATTACTGAAACCTATATTACTGTCTGTTCAGGACCAGGAACTGTATGTTCCTGTTCAAATTTACATAGGTCTTATATATTGGAAATTGACCTGCTTATTTATATAAACAGCAGTTTTCATGGAATTTTTAGGTAAAAATCGTTGTCATTTTTCTGTCTTTTAAACCAGCCTATGTTAGTTGGGTCTGGAACTCCTTCAATAAAACCATGTGTTACAAGTGAGACTGCGATTAAAAGTGATAACAAAAAGTAAGTACAATTAACATTTTTTTGGTCATTTAACTCAAGGGTTTTAATAAGCAGTGTTAATTTTTTAAACTTGAGTTTTACTTCCTTAACACCTATGTCTAAAATTGTACATCTTTTATGACAAACTGATGTGACCCATCTAGTTGAGTTTATAGCATAGCCTATTGGTGTTAAGAATTCAGACAAATTATTTTAAAGTTACAAACTGATGCTATTAATTAATATAAGCGTATATTGAGAACTTCTATGTATAGGACACTATGGGAAATTCCTAGAAAAATGTTATTTACAATATCCAGTGAAGAGACTGTTGTGCTGCTGATGTTGTTGATAAGTACTGTCAAGTCAGGTTTGACTCATGGTGACCCTGTATAGGTTTCCAAGGAGTGGCTGGTGAGTTATTTTTTCTCATTAGAACTTAAGTAAGTTCTAATAGCTAGAACTTGCATTCATGGTCGTGAATTATTTAAGTCTAGGAGTTGTGCTAAAAATTACTAGCAATTGTTATAATGGGGAGATGTTATGGAGACTGCATATGAAATTACAGTTTAACCTTAGATGCTAGGGAATTTCAGTGGCAACTGATGGTTAAAACTTAGTTTTCAAGAAACAGACAAAAAGAAGAAATAAAACTAGAGAGGAGCAATGATTTTTTTAAGATCTCATTTTCCTTTCCTTTATAGACCAAAACCCCACAAATTATTTTTCTCATATTTCTTAAGTGAGTTCTAATAGCTAGAACTTGCAGTCATTGCCATGAATTATGTAAGTCTAGGAGTTGTGCAGTGTTAAAATAATAATAGTTTATATTTAGATGAACCCATACTTACATCCCAGAGTCCTGGTGTGGCGCTGTGGGTTAATTCACCAGACTGCAAAGCCATTTGAACTGCAAGGTCAGTGGTTCAAGCTCACCAGCTGCTCCTTGGAAACCGTATATGGGGTCCCTATGGGTTGAAACTGACTTGACAGCACTTAACAACAACAACACTATTCTAAGGATTTTAAACGTAAGAACTCATTTAATCCACCCATCTCCCCCTAAAAGATAACTTCACTGCTATCAAGTTGACTCCAACTACTAGCGACCCCATGGAACAGAGTAGAACGTCTTCCTAGGGTTTCCAAGGCTGTCATTCTTTGCTGAAGTAGACAGCCTCATCTTTCTTCCACAGAACAGCTGGTGGGTTTGAACCATCCACCTTTCAGTTAGCAGCCCAACACTTAACCCACTGCACTACCAGGGTTCCCTCCTAGGAGATAAATACTGATATGTCCATTTTACAGATAAGGAAACTAAAGTACAGAGTAGTGAAATAACTTGGCTAAGCAGATTCAAACCAGGGTCATAGAGCTCATATTCAAACTACTCTGTCTTTTTTAAAGTGGTGGAATGCTCCCCTCCACACCCTTTTTTTGGTCTTTTTAAATCAGCACATTTTACCAGTTTCAGTCTTACTTTCACTTAATAGCAATTATAGTAAAATCTCTTGTTTTTCTCTCAATTGCTTTATAAGTTCTAATTAATGTAATTCAATAGTTTTTAAAACCAGTAGGTTTTTTTAAAAAATTTGCTCTTTGTAGAAAGAATAAAGAGTTAATTAAAAGTACCAACTGAGAATGTCAGGTATAATTTCTTGTGCATTAAATTATATGGTAACTTTTGTTTTTGCATTGTAATACTGAATAATAGTTACCATCTTGGTGTGGGGTTTTTTGTTTGTTTTCAATTTAAGTATTCTGGTTCACCCAAAATTCTATTATTCACAAACTGGTTTTCGTCTACAGAGGTAGTTCAAGTTCTTCAGGCCCCTTTGCGGTACCCCAGCATCTTCGAAAAGATGTTGAAGAATTTGAAGCTTACTATAAAAAAAAGCAACAGCAAGATAAAGAATATGTTGCCCGGAGTAAGAAGAGTGAAACAAACCCAAAGCAAAAATGTTCAACTCTATATGAGTGAGTAGTTTAACATCCCTATAACTATTATTTTATACTGTAACACTGCCAGTTAAAATATGAAATGCTTAACTGATGTCTCTTATATTTATTAAGAGAATCATTTATTGACTTATAACCCTTGGGGAAGAAAAGTCGTTTTTAGAGCTTTTGCCACATATTATAAAGTTACTGGAGAACTTCTAATGAATAATTTTCAAGTCCTAATTATTGGTTTTGTCACTGTGAGTTGCTAATATAGATACCTTCTACTTCTAAAACTGACCTGCTATAAGGAGCTCTGGTAGCGTAGTGGTTACGAATCGGCCTGCGAACCTTAAGGTCAGTGGTTCGAAAATACCAGCCGCTCCGCGGGAGAAAGATGAGGCTTTCTACTCCCGTAAGGATTTACACCCTCGGAAACCCTGTACAGGGTCAAATATGGGTCGGCTCCAACTCGAAGGCACTTAACAACAACAAATGTTCTATTAGAATATATCCTATAAATGTCATTACCTTTCCATCAGGAATTCTCTGGTATCCATTTAATATGGCTCTTTGTATTCTCTGTTCTTAGAATGATGTGTGCAACTTTTTGGAATCTCATAATTCCAGTAATATATAATGAAGCTTACTGAACTGTTACCCTTTTCTTGAGGAAGGGATACCAGGAAGCCATTATTCCTTCATCCAGGATTATTATACAGCTGTAAAACCCTGTACTTAGCATAATAATGGAGACTTGTGTTCCTGACATAGAGCTAATGGAAAGGAAACATATGTTTTGTTTTTAGTAAGTGGAGTTTGAGTTAGTTGAAAATGTGAGTGTGAAGTTCAGCAATTAAGTTTGAGTAAGCAGGATAAAATGATTGAGTATAGAGTTCAAGATAATCTAGAAAACAACTTACAATTTTGAAATTGGTATCAATAAGTTGTTGTTATGTTGTTAAGTGCCATCGAGTCGTTTCCGACCCATAGCGACCCTGTACAGGGTTTCCAAGGCTGTAAATCTTTACGGGAGCAGAACGCCTCATCTTTCTCCTGCGGAACAGCTGGTAGTTTCGAACTGCTGGCCTTAAGGTTCGCAGCCCGATTCGTAACCACTACGCTAAAAAAGCCCCAAACCCTTTGTTGTCAATTTGATTCCAACTCATAGTGACCCTATAGAACAGAGTGTTGTTGTTAAGTGCCGTCGAGTCGGTTCTAACCCGTAGCAACCCTGTATAGGGTTTCCGAGGAGCGGCTGGTGAGCTTGAACTGCCTGCCACCCTTGCAGTTCAAACCAACTTTTCAGTCCAGCGCATTAACCCACAGTGCCACATCAGGACTCCATAGGACAGAGCAGAAGTCTGTAAATCTTTAAGGAAGCAAACTGCTACATCTTTTGCAGAATTGCTAGTGGGCTTGAGCTGCTGACTTTCAGTTAGCTGAGTGCGTAACTGTTGCACCATCAGGGTTCCCAGTAATGCACAAGACCTTCCTGAACAAGAAATTGAGGGCTACACCCGAAGTAGAAGAGTAATTTAAAAGTCAGCTCTCCATATTTACTCATCCATATTTTGTCATTTCATCTATTTTCCTCATGTGCATCATTCCTTTCCAGTCTAGTTTTATGCTCTTGGGTCCATCTTCATAGTTTTTCAGTAGAGTTGAAAATGCTGGGCAAATCATATTTCCAGAGAACTCCATGGAAAGAGCTATCAAACTACACTCCTATGTTTTAAAGTGTGCTAGACTTAAAGCTTCCAAAACTGGTGCTGTAACATGTGATTTTTGGCAGCTCAATATATTACCATTATCTGTGGTCAGGGGGGAGTAAGCAACTGTATGGGGAAACAAATAGGCTGATTTATTTGTATTTGAAGTAGAATTTTACCTTATAATACAAGAAAGCCAAGAAATGACAGAAAGTTACCCCTCGAAACATAATTCTTTCTGTGAATTTTTAGAAGTAAATATATGGTGGCTTAAGAATGATGGTTCCTTTTCTTGGCCAATGGATGAAAGAAAGGAAAGTGAAAGCAAGGAGTAGAAAAACCATTGCAGAAGAAGTCGGGAACACTGGGATAATGGCTACGATTTAAGCAGAGTTTCAAACCAATTCTTCCTGTTCTGTCGTGGTTGACGAAGCAAAACCAGAGGGACCTGAATTTGTAAAATGTGGATGAACCTGGACAATTACTAGAATGGGAAACATTACGGGTTGATGCCCTATTAGAGACTTAATCTCCCTTTTAGAAAATAAGGGCAGCATACATGTTGCATAGAAATCAAATCTCTTGATTTAGCACAGTTGGAAACAAACAGTGCTTTTCTCAAAGCTGTGCCACTGCACCACACTGAATGAGTCTATAACTTTCCACAGTGCTGGGAATAGTCTAATCTCCCACATCATGCTCCTCTAAAAAGTCTCCCCTTCCAAGGCTTCGACCTGTAATCTTCTCAGTTCTGGTTGTCATTCTGCTTTACACAATTAAAAACATTTTTTTTTTTTTCGCTTTCCATTGCAAATTGAGTGAAGGTTTGCAGAGCAAATCATCAGTTTTACATCCAGTAAATCACGGTTTTTTTTTTTCATTTCAATGATTGCATCCCTGTCATGTAAAACAGTTAGCCTGCTTCCTCCCTGTGGTTCCTATTTCCTTTCCACCTTCCTTTCCAAACCCTCTGAAACTCGTCCCCAGGTAAATGTTGCTGTTTTGACCTCAAATGGTTGACAATTCCGTGGTGTGCATACCTCACTAATGTTGTCCCTGCTGTATGCATATCCACCACTTGATTGAAAATTGGGCTATGAGAGTAAGCTGTATTCCAGACCTAAAGGAGGGTGGCCAAGGGCTATAGTCTCAGGTTCCTCCAGTCTCTTTCTAACCAGTAAGCTTGGTCTTTTTTATGATTTTGAGTTTTGTCCTGCACTGTCGCTCATTCTATCTGGGACCTTTTAATGTGATCCCTTTCAAAGTAGTTGGTTACGGTAGCCGGGCACCATCTAGTTCTTCTGGCCTTAGAGCTGTGGAGACTGATATTTACATGTTCCATTTGTACATTGACTAATTGATTCTAAGCATCTTCAGTTCTCATCACTCTTCTTTCTTCTGCATACCCAAATTTTAAAAATTCAAGTCTCTTTAAATTTCACTTCTCTGAGCATGACTGAACTGATTCAAATCAGTTTGGAGACCTGAATTTAACCTTTTCTTTTCATTAGTATTCTTGCCATAATACTGAATTATAAAGAAATTATATTCGTGATATTTTAGACCCAGTGTTTATCTTATAGCAATTACTTTTCAGAGGCACAAAGGTACCTTTGCATTTCAAATAGAATCAAAGACCACAGCCTTTAGTGTGGATTGCACATCAATGTAAAGAAAACAAAAATCCTCACAACTGGACCAATAAATGACATTATGATTAGTGGAGAAAAGCTTGAAGTTGTCAAAGACTTCATTTTGTTTGGACCCATGATCAACACTCATGGAAGCAGCAGTCAGTAAATCAAACTACATATTGCATTGGGCAAATCTGCTGCACGAGACCTCTCTAAAGCGTTCAAGAGCAAAAATACCAGTAGTTGGACTAAGGTACGCCTGACTCAGGCCATGATATGTTCAATAGCGTCACATACATGTGAAAGTTGGACAGTTAATAAGGAAAGCTATAAAAGAACTGATGCATTTGAGTTATGGTGTTGGAGAAGAATATTGAAGGTACCCTAGACTGCCAG